TGTAATACCCACGCAATGCAATGAGTAGTGCTCACAGTTTTATTGACATAAGTCACGCTTGTATTACGGCAGGTAACTCCCTCTTTGTTGCAGCAGCCGCCACACCTGAAGACTGAGACGCACGGGGGCTTAAAGAACACAGCCGTATTGGTGCCCAGCTCTTTTGCCACATCTACACACGTCTCTCTGGGCATACACTGTGTTTTCTGCCATTCGTCATCAATATCTGAAAAAAAGGTACTTTTTAGGTACACAAATCTATGTACAGTACTTAGACATCACATGTTCGCAATTATGTTTGCAAGAGGGTCTCAACCTTTTAACATCTCTGGGCTGAACGAAGCGGCTGCATAGCGAGTTGACCTGCGGTTCTCAGGCGGAGTGGCATATTCAAAGTGCTTCAGCTTGAGCCTGCATCTCCACAGCTTCCAGTCTGGGTACTCGGTCAACATAAGAAGCTCATCCAGACTCCCAGCTTCCCTTAGTTCCTGTTCCCACCTCTCCTGGTTTATGTCCTATGGAGAAATGCAATCTTGAATGTGAAAAGAATGAGGGCTGCTGATTGGAATACAGAGTTAAAACATTTTTATAAGAATTTGTTTGAGGCATGCTGAGCAAAATTCAGCCAAAAGTATGGATCATCACAGCGGGAGTTAGATAAATAGAAGGATTAAAAATGAATGCCCACAAATTAGAAACACCTTTATTTCCCAACTTTACAACTTACTACAAAGACTTGCATCATACAAACATCCTGCTGTCTGTGAGGTATGTGAAGTCTTGCCATAATAAAAGGCCAACCAGTAGGATATAACTAACAACGCATTACTAGATATATAGCACACAGCTACTAATTTCTTCAGTGGTAGGCTACAACTTTTTAAAAAGAAAAAAATCTGAATGCACATTAAAAGGAAAATTTTCTTTCTATGCACTAGAGGGCAGTAGTGATAATCAACATTGGATTTTCTCTGCATTTTTTGGCTGTGTAAAGAATCGGTGTTACACTAGGGAAAGGATGCAGCTGTTCCTCGTGTAGTTCTGCCACCAATGAATATGCAGGGTTGCATCAGACCATACAGATCCTTAGTTTTACAACCTCACTATAATCCACAGTGTGTTCCCTTACAACTTGTTAAAGATATACATATATTAAATATTGACATGACAGTGCAGCCTTCAGCATGGGTAAATGGAGCCTTGAATCATCATACATAGTTCTGCTGACTGGACAATTGCACACAGACTTTGTGAGACCTAAGTGCTGGATTTCTCTAGATTTCTCAATCTTTAGAATTTATCTAGAGCTTCGTGCTAGGCTTGTCAGGCCATAAAGTTCAATTTTCTTCTCTCTCACCAGCTTGTGTAGCCAAACACATGGAACACCCTCTGGCAGAAGCCCACTCTAAACAACTGGAATATACGCTCTATTAGCTCAGTATGGACCACCTGTTTAGAAGCTCAG